TTGTACTAGGGAGACCCCGACGATTTGGTGTTGGGTGTTTCTTGCACTATTGTCCTTCTTGTCCAAAGTCTATGGGAGGTCTGCCTGCCTATGCTTCATACACAACAATGTTCATCATGTCACAGTCCGACGTCAACTCATCTGAAAATACAGGAACCACAAATTGCCACAGGCATCTGTTTGACTAGTGACAACACCAACATTTCAACGCAAACTCACCGTGTGCCCATGATATGTCCTCCTCGAATCGTAGGGTAGGGACCAACCCCACAAGCAGCTTCGAGGCTCAAGACATGGAGGTATGTCACTCACAAACCTTTACACACCATCCCAGGTCGATCCAATTGACTGGCAGATTTACCTATACATTGGTGTGGTTTCTGGGATCAATGCAGGAAATATGATGCTCTGGGAATAGACATCAATAGACCATCAGCACCACAAAAAGACCCTTGGAGATCCCAGGAGAAGTCGGTCACGACGAGTTCGCCCAAACGAAGATGTCGCAGACAAAGACTCTCCAGATTAGGATCTTCACTTCACTGAAAGTCTGGCCACACTCTCGGTGGTTTTAAATAATTCCATATACCCTCCCTGGAAACAATCATGGAAGTGGAAGTACAGCCTGTTCATAGAGGAATTCAGCCTTCCAAGGGGCCTTGTTCCACGTAACCATGTTTGTTGGATGGAGGGTAATTCCTAATTAGTGACCTTTATAACAACTTCTCGCGCTAGCTCGGTCACAACTGGGCTCGGTGTTCCTCATGCCAACAGCACGTCTCATGGCTTTTCGCTTCGTGGCCACCACTTCGTGGCCACCACCGTCAGCGCGCCACGGGCACGTCGCCCGTTCACCCCGCCCCACCTCGCGCACCACCACTTTGCGGCCATGCGCCACCTTCTCCGCCACCACCTGGGTACTCCAAACGCAGCGATCAGGCGACAGCTTTGGTCCCGATCAGGAACTGACCTCATTCAGTTCTCAGCTCAATGAGGTTTCTAGGACCAGGTTTTGCTGGTGCGTGTGTGTGTGTCTGTGCGTGTGTGTCCTTCTTTTGGTGCACACATGTGCACACCAAGGGGGTTCGATGTTCACACCTCTTTTCTTCACTGCTTTGAAGAACCACAGCCTAAAGTCATGCGCTGCAGCGCAGGTGTTGCAAGGCAAAAGGCAAAAGGTCGACCTAACAGACAATGTTCTCTGTTCCTCGCGTGGCTTCTGATTCTGACGCACTGGGTGTTCTTAGATCTGGGTGTGTGTAGGATTCTGTTCTCCTTGCGTTTCCATACTTTCTGATCATTTCCAAATCTTACTCCATATGTACGTGCCAGATCATCTCCAGGGTCAGAGAGGGTCTTCTCCAAGCCAAAGCAATCTTTCAAGGACCAACAACGCTCCAAGCCAACTCAGTGCTCAACACCTCCTGCCATCCCTTTCGGCCCAAGAAACTGCTGGCTGGCCATCAACCTGAACATCTGGTTCGAAGGTCATCTCTTGTTCGATTTCCCTGGCGGCGGAAGGTGCCACAACGAGGAGAAATGGCAGCCGAATCGGAGACCTTCTGGAGACCTTCTGGATGGGGCGTAAACTGTGCAGTGGTTAATCTGAGTAGATGTGAGTAGACGCCAAAAAAGACATGTAGACCACTCATGAGATGAGGGCTTTGTATACAAGCCGGTCTTTAAAAAAACCACCTCTTCAGATTGCTGTGCCAGGCAACGAACATGTCGGACCTGAGGTCAACTGCCGTTGAATATGTCACGTATGTAACTATACTGTATAACTCGCTTGATAGAAGTGACTATAGGGTCAAACATCTGCAAGGGCCACATCTATGATATCTATAATTTGAGTGTTTTCAAAAGGCCTGCGATGGTTGTACCTCGAATAAGCCTCTACGTAACACAGCCATAGCAACTTTATTTCATAACCTTTTTTTGTTTGGCAACTTTCAACTTCTGTTGATAACTGTCAACTTCTTTCAACAACTTATTATTAAAGTTGCAAGTTTCTTTTACAACTTCTTCTAGAAGTTACACTGCTCAAACAAGGAAAGAAGTTTACACAAAATGTTAGTGTTCGGTCAGTGTTCGGGCGACAAACGGTTGTTATTTATAAATACAAAGAACAACTTGTAGCCTTATATTAGTGTTCGGCCAGTGTTCGGACATGCATGTTGACAAGTTCTTTTGAACATTGTAAATTTTTTGTAAAATTGTTTAGAGCTCTTTTTTAGTGTTCGGAAAGTTATTCCTTTAATCCAATCTTTTAAAATGTGTATAAAACAAGATTGTTGCTGCGGAAAGAACATTGTTGATGCGGTTTGTGTGCATGCCTTTGAAGACCTTCTTGAAAACGCCCAATCTATAATCGGGTCTATAATCGGGTACATCTGCCAGGAAGCGCCACATCTGCAAGCGCCTCATCAATCCTATTTGTTAGTCCTTGTTCATCCACTGCTCCACGGTTTCAGCGGATCTCAACAGATTCCAAGAACCAAGTCGTCCGTCCGCCACACAACGGGGACGCGCACGCCGCCACGGCCTCCAGGTATCCTCCAACGATCGAGCAGCCTTCTCTTCCTGCGAGACGAAGAGACGAAGAGACGCAACACTCTGACTGACACATGACTTCCAAAAGGACTTGAGTCAGTTGAAAGCTGAAGAAGTTTTGAAAACCTGGACTGTGCTTAGTCTGTTGTTGGAAAACTGTCAGTCCGTTCTGCTCATAAAAGTATTTGAAAAGGTGCCTGGAAAGACAACTACCTTCATGAACAAGATTTTGTCCACTTTTAAGTGACGTGTCCGGAGTGTCCCCCCATCAACAAGCGGTTGGCTCACAGCACTCTCCGTGCCCAGGCTCTTTTGGGGGGGGCTCGAGACTCTTTCAATCTCTCAACAGACAGTCTACAAGTTCACAGTTGACGGCATCACCCTCGGTCACTCTCTTCAAGGCCCCCTGCCCAACACCTAAAGGGTCATACTGGTGACTGGAGACTCAAAGAGGCTCAGATGCAATTTGGATATCACACTTTGACGCAATCGGTCTCGGCTACGGCTAGGTAACGTGTCACGTCGGTGCGAGGCTCCTTGTTTTCTTGCTTCTCCCAGGCTTCGCCATTGGGCCTCAACGACAGCATCAACATCGCCGGGGAGACAACAGTGCTGAGGAAGCCTGACTTTGGAGGTTGACATCAAGTGTTGCCTCGATGCATCTGTTGTTTGGCCCTCTTCCTTATATGAAAACTATATTCTCACTATGCATCTGTGCTGGTCAACCACTGGTCAATGTCGGTCAACGAGTCGAAGTCGGTCAACCCATCACCAGTCGGACCACCCCCGTCCAAGCGGCGGAAGCTGTCCGAAGTGCTCTCTCGTGTGGCGGTTCTCGACCTGCCGGAAGACCCGAGCCGGAACGGTGCGAGGCTCGGTGTGCGACCGGGGACCAAGCTTAAGCGACCGGGGACTGGGGTGATGCAGTGACGGTCAAGTAATGTAAAACTCCAACAAGAACAGGAATAAATTTGAATATCTACATCATTGAATTGCTTTTCGTACTGGCTATCATCTACTTCAGGAGGATTTTGACCGATTGCCTATCGATATTCAACCATCCCCACGTGGAGCATGAAGGCCATCTGCTTGGTATCTTTTGCGTTTCCAGGTAGAGTAGAGAAACATAGAGAAATGGGTATAGTATAGATGAACTCGGCAAACCTGTGCAGAACTACTCACACAGTATCCTGAAGGACAGAGTAGTTTCTTCAGTCGTCCAATCTTGACGATACAAAGTTTTATGCCAACATTCCACTGCTCTATCTCTTCCGATCACTCGAATGCTTCCTATTCAAACACCTCTGTCCAGGAATTTATCATATTGTGCCAGAATCTGCATTGTCCGTGAGTCTGTGAGGTGCTGTGCTAATCCATGCTAATCCCATTTCCTTCAGACATGACCTGGACACCTACAAGGTCCAAAAAGGATGCTCTTGTGGATGGTCCCCTCACTAGCCAAGGAGTAACTCCCGGTGTTTTGCGGACTATGACGCAACTGGGCGTTCACTCACCGGTTTTGAGTTTACTTGCTTTCCGTCCGTCGATCCACTCGTGGATTTGATGTTTTCTGGCTCATGTTCTCGGTGAAACAACTTTGATTCCACTTCACTTCCCATTAAACTAGTGAATTGATAGGAACACATAGAATTTGGGTCTCCTCAACCCCTATGTGCTTCGCCCTCCCCACCCTCCGGCGTAGGAGGCAGCATCAGACCCCGCCGCTCTGTGTCGCCTTGTCGTAGTTCAAGGCCGTGGCGTTCATCACCTTCCGATTCATGGGGCCTCGCGGGGCAACGAGGCCATCCCTGATCGTGACAGGCGAAATATGGCGAAATGGCAGGCCATCCATGTGAGTTTGAGGACGGAATTTAAAAATGTTGCCATGACCCGACCCAAGTGTCCATCGAACAGTGAATAGGGTGATCATGTTTTCGAGATTGTGGCGGTTGCAGAAATCGTTTCTAGTTCAATTGATTTCTAGAACTCAACATCGAGGAACGCGGAGCTCGATGTATCAATCAGTTGAAACCGTTTATCAGCTAAACACCCTGTGAACTGGCGCATAGTCTGAGCTTGTGATGGTGAGGCAACGGAACATGATGGACAATGGACATGTCCATAATGCCAATGGCAAAAATCCTTCGTTGTTGAGGCAGATCGTCCCAAAGAACTGTAGTTCAAAAGCTAACGGCTCACATGTGTATCTGTATCTCGTATCTCTGGAGAATTGGACATGTTTAAGTGGTCAACACCGGTGTCAGTTAATGAAATCCGTTTCAAACAGCGGACAACCTTCTGGGATTCCACATTTGCGCTGAAGGTTCGAATGCTCTGCCCAACCATGGTCCATCAACTAACATACTTGAACCAAGGCCCTCTTTCACCACACAAGAACATCAACCCTCCCAAAAACAAATGGAGGAACGAGCCTTTATCTACTTTTTCTTCCAACGAAGCAGCTATGCTCTCCAAATTCTCCCAAACGTGGTCCACCTTGCTCCTTGACCACTGACTTGAACCGAAGACCGCAGATGAAACTGCCCTGCTGCTATGATCTGCGGTATTGAACTCCAAAGCCACCAGCACAGTGTTGTCTGTGGTGTATGTTTTGCTGTTGTCCAGCCGCTCCAGTGACATCATACAATCAACATTCACTTGAGCGAAACGCATAGGAACATCTGAGTAGAAACAGCGCCCTTGTTGAGACCACAACATCTTCAGCACAGAATCTAAGTCAATCTCAAAGTTACCGTGCCACTTGCCGCGTTTGTGTCTGCCACGCGCATGGTTCAGCATGCTTTGGACGTGACCACGTAAAGTCATTCGACGGGACAAATCGTACTCTCTCGCGCATTGCTTGCATTGGCCCCGGTGGCCCCAAATCCTACGACTGTCCAAGGAGAAACAGCTGGCATGCTTCCAAACCTTGCAACTCCAACACCTGAAGTGCCCAAAGGGTCCCGCAACTTGACATTTGGAGGCTGCCATTGCAACAGGGGACCGGCGCTTCTCTCGGGCACCCTGCATCATCCCATGCAAGCCTTCCAAATCAACGTTCAACTGTCGCAACCAGCTCTGAGCGTTCTGAACTTTCTGCAGGGACCACTTGGAAGATCCGAACGTTGGGATCACTTGGCACTCGTCTGCTGATCTTCTCCGTTGAGTTAAACTCAGCTGCAATCAGGACACAGTTTTCTGGGACATACCCCACAGCATTATCCAGCCTTTCCAACGACATGCGCCAGTCTGAGTGCGGCAAAAGAACCTCCATCTGAACGCCAGAATATGCACATCTGCCTTTCTGTCGCAGGATTGTGTTTAGGATAAAGTCAGGGTCCAAGCTGCACGCCAAACCTTTCACCTTTGATCGCTTCCTCGCATTACTAAGAAGAACAGCTACATTTCCGCGGAGAGTTCGCCTGTAATCAGCCACTCTCTCATTGTGGCATTTCTTGCAGTACGAGCGCATGCATCCAGTCGCTCTTACATAGAAATCTGCCAGTGTTTTCTCATCGCCGCAATCACAACATCGCCAAGTGCCGGTGCCATCGCCCAGGGCCCTTGAAGTTGGCGGACGTCTTGAAGTATGTTGAGGTTTCCTAGGCGTCTTCGCGTCTTCAACAAGGTACTGCAGTTGCTCTGCGTTTAAGGCAACTCCGGCAAGCTGCTCTACTGAACACCCCACGGACCCCAAGCTACGCACAGCTAGGCTTAAGCGCCACGAGCGGAAAAACATCGGCAACACGCTGAAAAGCATGGCCCTCTCACACGTGCGTGAGAGTACTGAGTACTGAGTAGTGGAAGCTCCTTGAGCCAGGTGTATTGTTTCTAGCAGGCATTCAGTGGTTGCATGTAGCTCCCCTCACACTGTCTCAGAAACCTTTCAACACCTTTGCACAAAGTCTTCAAATGGCGACATGTAATCAGAGCTGGTTGAACGCAGGGTTGCTGCATGGTCATTTGGTCTCCGCGTACGTGCACGCGATGAACACATTCTTAAAACAATGGATTCCAGCTTCTCAGGAAAAATCCGCGCCTGTGCGCATGCCGCCACGATGGTAGAAGCGGCGTCCCCACGGATCAATCTCCAGGAGATAGTAGACATCCTGGAGCGGACGCAACGACAGCGCCTCGCCCTGTACCAAACTTGTGGCATACATAGGTTTGCCAGGAAAGTCTTTGGCAATTGACTTAAAACACAAAAACGTTGGTCCCCAAATCTCACTACAGTTTGGGGACTTTGATAGAATCTGCTACTAGTTCTCTAACCGCATCGAGACTGGAGAACAACAAGCTCATGAAACGTTGTTGTTGTTTTTTTTTTTTTTTTTTTCGCATTTATTCTTCATTTGCCCACAATCTCCAGCTCGTAGGTGTCATAGCCGAAGCCAAAGGAGATTCGTCCATGAGGCCTGTCTGTGGAACGAGCCCAAACAGCGTGACTGGGTTGAGTCTTTTGTTGAGGTGGCTTTTGTTTTCAAGGTAGCTTTGCATGTACATGTATACATACATCGACTGCAAACATTTAACTTGTTGTCCTCTTCTGATAGCGCATGATGTTGTCCTATCATGTCCTATCTTCATCATATGTGATCAGTCTATCGGCCGTATTTTACTACAGTATGTTGTGAGTTCACTTTGTGGCTCTGCATCAGTCTCTTGAATACAGGCTTGGCTTTCTTCTCATTGACACTGACACCACCTAGTTACCATCGCATGGTAGATCCGTCGGTGACCTAAGCGCTTGTGTAATCCCTTCAGTCTCATGTTCGTGACATACTTGTTCGAGCTGAATAGGAAAATAGGAAGCTGTTCGAAGGCACCAGCTAGAGAGACATCCTCCTCATACAAACACCTGCCAGTCTAGCTTGACAAAGTTTCGACTTGGTCTCCAGATGGCGATGGGAGCCCTAATGATCCTAAAGGATCCTAAAGACATCCAGAAGCTCTGGAAGGCCAATCGCAACAACGGATTGAGCATGTCCAGCTTATTCAAGTTGAAAAGCGAAAGCTGACTGCATGTCTGTGAAAGCACTGCATATCTGTGAGATCGAACACACTCAGTCCGGCGCCTGTAGTCGAACTTCATCCATGTGTCGATGTAGACCTGCGCAAACCAAAGGGGCTGTGGAAAAGAAACATGCAGTTGAGTCTGTCCTCAAATACCATTCACAAAACAAACAGCAACTAGGATACAACTAGACATACTTCATCCATATCTCCTGTGAGAATTGCAACATGTTCTAGGCCAATTAAAATGAATATATATATATATAGTGTAGACTCCAGAAACCCTATTTGCACCGATGCGACACTGATTCCGCAGGGTAGAACCCACTGCACAACGACCAGAAGGCCTCTTCAGGTCCATGATCTCAGGTCAATGGCGCTGTAATGCGCTGTATTTATCTATTCCATTAAGACTGCTGGGTCGTAGTCAAAATACCCAGCTTGGAGCGTGCGATTCTTTAGCTTTGGAGCTCGTGACAGCATCTCATCCAAACTCAACATTCTCACATTGACCTATTCCATACTATTCCATACAAAATCAACCAGCCAGGAAGCTTCATAAACTCACTGCTTGGATCTGGTTAAGGAACCGGGAAACACCACTCCCAGTTTTGGGGATTCACCCCGGAACCGGGAAATGGTCAATCACCCGTCTCCCACCAAACCCAAGAAATCCGTCTCCCATGGAAAACCCATGGGGTCGGTCGCACACCTGATGCATTCGGAGGTCTGGCTGCACGTTGATGGCCTAACGCCGTGAACCCGCCACGAACCCGGGGGGCGGCCACGGCCACACGAACCCGCCACGGAGGGCGGGGTAACGAAGGGTATAAGACCAATGGGCCGTGAAATGTATTGAAATGTAATACCCTTAAACCCGCTATTGACCTCTAGCTCATGGAAGTAAACATAGATGAAAATAGCCAATAGCCTTTGGAAGACTCTTTTCAACTACCATCTACAAACAGGGGGATTGTCCCCTTCCATGTATCTCGCAGGCAATGCAATTAGTACTATCCCAGAACAAGTTTCATGGCTGTCAGAATTCTGGAATATCCTGGACAACCTGTCGGTGTCGTTGGATCCTGGTTGTCGCCATTCCACGGTTTCATCCTGAAAACATGGTGCGAATAATGTGCGGAGTGGAACTCCCAAAAGACACGCAAATGATTGTTAACATCATGTTTTACTGACATTCCAACCGAATGGATCGTGTCTAAATTGGCCGATCTGATTCTTTGGGGGCCGCCATCCTTTTCTCCATCACTTCAGCACCACGTCTGTTCACATCTCTTCAGCACAAAACTCCTTAGCCATTCATGTAGTATAGCCATATAGCCATATAGCCCAGTCTACTTGGTGCTCAGGGCTACAATGCTACACAAGTGCAACAAAAAAAGTGACCAGACTTCTCCTTTCAAACCGCTCGCCAGTACACTACTATATAGTATACACCTATAGGATTCCGAAAGATACCTACTACCTGTGCCCGAAGAACTGCTCTTTCTTCTGAGCATTCCGGGCATTCCGGTAGAACTGCTTCACCTTCCAAACCGCCAATGGATCGAACCTCAGATCTGATCCGAGCGCCAATGGATCGGTGTCGAGGTGCTCTGTCTCTAAGCACCCTCTGCTGAGCCGTCCGGAGTCGAGGTGCTCAGTCTGATGTGTTGGGCACTGGCTGGGCACTGGTTGGCAGCCATCTGGAGATCTTGATTTGATTTTGGTCTTTGAAAGAAAAGCTGAGCCATCTTGAGATTCTGAAGACCGAACACATCCATGTTCACCAGCTGAACACTGAACACGTAGATGATGGGTGGTGACCGTGGTGTTGGTCTGATCTTCAACATCCCTGATTTCAATTGAATCACCGGGGCTCCAAGTACCTCCTCAGAAGGTATTTGGACCCTCTAAACCCACTCCAGACACCTTCTTAGAAGGTACTTGGAGCCCTAGGGATTTGATTGGAGAAGCACCTTCACCTTCACCTTCACACCCCTTGCTGATCCGCCATCTGCTGCTGCCTTTTGCAGTTCTTGGGTGGCTCCCCCAAAAAAACCCTTTCGCACCGCGTGGAACGCGCGTTCGCGCATGTTTCTGGGTCGTTCTCCAAGGGCTGAGACCAAGCGATGTCATCGAAGCGAAGCTGGTACATGGAACCTAGGCTAGCGTGGACAATCGCGCTACAGCGACCGTATTAGAATCGGTGTGAAGGTTGGAATCGGTTTGGGTCGCGAAGTTGTCCCAAGAACATGGGTACAAATTGGTACAACATCTATCTGATTTTTATAGGAACATGTCCCATCTTCACTGGTACTTTGGAGGGTTCAGGAATAGATGTATTAGCATAGGGAGACCTCCGAAAGACACCCTGGAAGGAAAATAGACCACAGCCGCCACAGCCCCATTGGTGGGTCTCTATCAATTAAGAAACACACCCACATGGCTGCAGGGATGTTGGTCATGAACACTGCCAAAGATTTCCAGGTGCTTGACATATCTTGAATTCAGCATGGAGCATGTCTTGTGTATACCGATTCCTCAAATCTTGACAAGGCCAGTGCTCGACTCATCTTGGCGCGTTGGGTAACCATGCAAGCTTGCACGGATCATGATTTATGCATGTTTAGGCCCACAAAGTTGTTTCTTCAACAAAGCTGGGCCCTGCAGGTGCTAAAAAAACGCAAGGCTCGCAAGGACCCAGTCAGCGACGCTAACTGCAGGTTGATGCTGTTGGTATTGGACAGCATCCAGTAACCTGATAACTGGACGTCGATTCGGAGGACCCACCATGTTAAGCTTGATCACATAGCGAAGAAATACGATCAAACACCTAACACTACCTAACTCAAAGATACTCAAAGAGACTCCAGCGCCGAAGAAACCACCAGATCTGGGCCATCCAACTGGCACAGCCCGAGCCATAGGTGAAGACCAACAAGATCTTCCCCAGCGCCTGACTCACGCATACTCACGGCGCTGTGGCGTGGCGTGGCTCGTCCAACGGGGTCCGGTTTCTTTTTCTCGACATCGCTCGACGAGGTTGACGAGGTCATGTGAGGTCCATGGAACTGCTAAGGCACTAAAAAGAAGGAGACCTGCACTCCAGTCACATTGGCAACCATGTAGGTCATGCTGGTCTGGTCATGTAGGTACACAAGGAGAAAGTGACGGAAATCACACAGAAATCCGAGCACTTTGAAACCGATCAATTGGTTGTAACTTTCCTTTTTGCTGGTATACAAGAGATCATCTGCACCTCTTGAATCGGACGCGCACATGGTTGGCGTGTGAAGAAGTGGTTTGCTTTCAAACAAAAAAATCTCAATTCGGAACTGCTGCAGCATTCTTCTTCGCTCAGTTGAGGCCCTTTCTGGTGCCTCTCTCTCCTCAAATCCCCAAGTCACTCACACCATCTCACACCCTTTGGGTGTGTCAGGCCTCGTCCCACTGTGTCATCACCACCGAACTGATGTTCAAGAAGGATGACACCTCAACTCGCACAACTCGCGCTCCGTGCAGGTTCTTGTCTCAGGGTCTCAAGCCGTCCACTTGAGGCCATGGGTGAAGGTTCCCAACCCCTGCAACTCCATGCAACTCGCACGCAACTCGCGACCCAAACCTTGGTTGTTCATCCTCAGAGCCTGGTTGTGGTAACTGTTAACTTCATGATTCTTGGGTACCCTTGGCAAGATGATGGCTCGACTCCAACAATGGGTGAATCCAAGGCTAGTTGCTGGAAATTACAATAGAATTTGTGGTTCTTGCACGAGTTGACAACATCCTACAGGTCCTACA